TTTTTTTTTTTTTTTTTAATACGAACGTTAAAGTTTCTTCGTATTTGTAAAGAGAGGAAGAAAAAAAAATATTTTTGCAGTTACAACGTTTCTAACTTGATTTAACGAAATCTGCAATAAAAGCAATTTTAAAAATAACATTTTGAAAGATAAATATTTCATTTGATGACGTATTTTCTATCAGAAACACATGAACTTACCTTTATGTGATAGTGATTAAAAATATGAACAGAAAAAAAGAAAGAAAGAAATATTTTATTGTTAACCAATGAATATAGAAAAATAGAAGAAAAAAATATAAGAAACAAATTAATATTTTTATTATTGAAGATTAAATCATTACCATGACCTAAATAAACACAGTCATTACGATAAGTACAAATTACTTGAACAGTCGTACATATATGCAAATTATTATATCATCCGGATCATCTTTAATAAATGATGTGTTGTTTTTTTTTTTCTTCTTTTTTTTACAGTGTGAATTTTAAATATTCAATTAAATTAAATTAAATTAAATTACATTAAATATATCGATTGTGATAACTGTATGCATAAACAATTACAAAATAACCTTACGTTTGACTTCTCAATAATCATTAAAAAAATAAATTAATTAATAAACAAAAAAATTAATAAATAAAAAATCAATATCACGCGTCAATTGTAAAAATCAATGTCGTAAATAATAAAAATCAAATAGAAAAATATAAATAATAAATATATACCAAATCATATTATTATATTATCAAATAATATAAATAACATAAATAATAAAAAATCAAATATATCAATATTATCATATTTCGAATATCTTCTTAAAAATTAATATATACATATATATTGAATTATTTTCTTTTAAAGTGTGAAAAAAAAAAGTAGGATTATACGTGAAACTTTAATCAAAAAATTTACGCAATATTTGTCACCTGTTGTTCAAATAATGAAATAAGAGATAAATAATTTGTCAAAGGTAGCAAATGTATTATACACATTATACCAAAAAAAAATAAACTTCTCTTCGAATTCGACGTTTTTTTTTTTTTTTTTTAAATATAATCGTAAAAAGAAAATTAAAAAAGAAAATAAGAAAAAGATTGATTATTCTTACATAAAGTTAGTGTGCATATATGTATATAATGTGTACTTTAAATAGAAAGTTGTTTTTCTTGTATGGAATTCGCGTCAATTTTTACATCTACTTCATAAATATGTATATATCTATGCGTGAATATTTAAATAACGTATGAATGTCTGTATTTACGCATTCCCATATGTTTCTTATTCAATGGTCTTGAAACGTTAACTATATTAATGTTAATGGTTTTAATTAGTTAATTAATTTTTTGTTTTTACACTTTCTAACAAATGTACCGTGGATATTAGAAATTAGATCTTCAAATTTAAATATATATATATATTTTTTTTATTTTATCTTTTCATTATTTTATTTATTTATTTTTTTCTTTTTGT